GAGATTAGCCTTTATTATTGTTATTAATTTTCTTCTTTTCTTTTTTTTTTAATTTATTGATTTTTTTACAGAGAGGAAGGGAGAGGGATAGAGAGTTAGAAACATCAATGAGAGAGAAACATCGATCAGCTGCCTCCTGCACACTCCCTACCGGGGATGTGCCCGCAACCAAGGTACATGCCCTTGACCGGAATCGAACCTGGGATCCGGTAACATGCTTTCACTGTATGAACAGTTAATGGAGATATGAAAAATGAAACCCATGTGGGAACCTTTACTTTCTTGTTTGCTTATAGGAAACAGACTGGTCAGGGAAGAGGGACTGGTGTGAGCCTACACAAGCCCCACAGACAAGAGATCTGGTTCCCTATTAGAGGGTTGTTTCAAAAGAGTAGTAGTTTGGAAAGGTGTGTGGGTGCCGGCAGTGCGGATCACAGTTGTGGGTGTCAGGCAGCTATAGGGGGCGTCTTAGGGTAGAAAAAGGGGCAAGCCTCTGACCTGGAAGGTTTGAGTAAACCAGAGTGACTCTGCTTGATTGCCTCCAGTGATGAGAGGCTCTCTCCCCTGTTTGACCCTCCGCTTCCTTATATGGAGCCGCTGCATGAGCTTTAGGGTTTTTCTTATCTCTTTGAAGCGTTACAGCAAACCACTGAGTGATGGTTCCCAGGGCTGGAGACAGAGGCTCAGAGAGGTGAAGCCACACCTCACCGGGTTGACTTGAGCCCTCTCCCATCTACCACTTGCTAGAGTTTTCCAGAAGGTGGGGACCTGTGGGGAAGGGAGGGTCCTGCATTGGCTGGGAATTAAGGCTCTCCGATGCGGGACTCTAAGAGACGAACTGCAGTCCCAGCTTCCTGGCTGTGGGATTTACTGCTGCAGGTTTTGCCTGGCATATAGTTTTAATTTTTGAACGTAAGTACTGAAGGAGTTTTTTTCTTGGTAATACCAGCCTGTGGTGAAAAAAAAGAGAGAAAGAAAGAATCAAGCCCTAGCCGGTTTGGCTCAGTGGATAGAGCATCAGCCTGCGGTCTGAAGGGTCCCGGGTTCAATTCTGGTCAAGGGCACATGTCCAGGTTGCGGCCTGATCCCCAGTTGGGATCGTGCAGGAGGCAGCCCATCGATGATTCTCTCTCATCACTGATGTTTCTCTCTCTTCTCTCCCTCTCCCTTCCTCTCTGAAATCAATACTAATACTACTGATAAAAAAAGAGTCCAGCGGTTTTTAAAAGTGAAGTGTGCGATGTGTCCATTTCCTCCCTCCTCAGGTCCCCAGTGCCCGTCCTCGGAGGCGGCACTGTTAGTCCCCGAGAAGCAGCCTCTGCAAAAGTCACCCCTGTGTGCGGATGTGCTTGTCTCCTCCCCACCTTTTTTTTAAAAACCTCTGACACACACCACGTTAGCCCTTGGCTTCTTCAGATTTTAGCTTAGCTGTTTCCTCACCTTTAAGTGAGGTGAAGAACTTGGGTGGACTTGGTTTCAAATGCCAGCCCCTCTGCTTACTCGCTGTGTGACCTGGGACAAATGTCTTCACCTCTCTGTGCCCACGGTTCCTCCTCTGTAGTAAGAGTAAGGACCAGAGTCCTTCTCCTGAGGTCCTTGCGAGGTTCTGTGTGGAAACTGCAGCTCAGCAGCACCCAGAACAGTGTCTGTAGCCCACCTGCTGTTGCCGTAAGTTTTCCTTCTTTATCGATGGCGATTTAACAGCTGTGAACACCTATGTGCTGGACACCATTCTGGGCTCTGGGACACACATCCCTGCCCTCATGGTCCTGACCTTTTGTAGGACAGATGGGGACAGTCAGGGAGGGAGGGACGCTATGACGTGGGACATGCGATGAGAGGAAGAGACTTTCCTGGTAGTCAGGGGAAGAGGCTGGGGGAGGTGAAGATCCAGGTGGAGGTAGAAGAAGTGCTTCGCCTGAGGCAGGAATGGCCTGTCGAAGGAACAGCTTGGAGGCCAGAGAGGCTGAAACTGCGAGCTGGGGGCAGGGAAGGGATGAGATCAGAGATCACACAGATCACGGAAGCCACAGAGAGATCTTGGCTTTTTTTCTCCCAGAGAAGGGAAGGGGCTCCATCTGACATGTTTTAACAGATCCTTCTGCTGTAATGGGGACACTGCGGCCTGGTGAGGGGTAGGACCAGCCCGGGGTCACTCAGCAGGCGCCCCCGGGCCAGGCCAAAGCCTTGGGCAGGGCAGGGCAGTTTGGGAGAGCAAAGTGCAGCCAGGGTGGGATAGCAAACACAGCCCGGGCTCCGGGCCAGAGCCGGCCCTGTGGGTGGGTGGCAGGTGTGGGCGAGGCCTTCGCCCTGCCCTGCCAGGGGGCAGTGGGAGCCAGAAATGGCCCCTGAGGCCGCACCGGTCTGGAAACAGCACCTGGTGTTTGGGTTGGTTTGGGGCCCACACAGTTCCTGGCGGTTGAGGCTGAGGACTTGGCTGCCAGGTGGCCTGGGTTCAAATCCTCATTCTGCTGCTGACAGCTCTGTGACCTGGAGCAAGCACGCAGCCTCACTGGGCCTCCACTGGCTCCCCCGCGTGCGTACTGAGGATGAAGTAGTGCCCATCTTGAAGGAGAATAGAGTGAGTGACCGAGGAGAGGGCTTAGGGTGTCCGATGAGCAGACACCCGAGGAAGGAGACGCCAGGATTTATGTAAACTTGGGGGTGTCCGGCGCTCAGCCCCGGGCCTAGGAGCCCAGAGCTGGGTCTGCTGCGGGGTTTTCCCTGACTCGTCTTGGGCAGCCGGAGCCGCACACCCAGCCCCCAGGCCTGGCTGAGACAGGGCCCTTGTGGGGTATAATTTCTCTCCCCGGAAACCTCTGACCACCCACTTCCTCTTTTCAGGAAAAAGTTTGGTGGGGGTGGGGCGCGGTAGGGACTAGCACTTCCCCCAGGTCTGTGTGTGACCTTGAGCAAGTCACTTCCTGTCTGGGAGCCTGAGTTTCCTCGCTGGGGGTGGGGAGGTTGAACCTCCCCAGAAGGACTGGGGGGGCGGGGTTGGGGGGGGTGCTCCTGCGATGTTCCGGGTGCCTGTGATGTGAGAGATGCCGACAGTTACTCAGTGCTCAGTCCATGCCAAGTACGTGGCTTTACGTGTCCAGACTCATTACTCCTCCCACTGTCCTGGGTGGTGGTGGTGGTGGGGCCTGTCATTCCCCAGTTTGCAGTTCTCCAGTGGGAGGGTCGCTGGCTGAGTCACATGGAGCAGGTGGCTTGTGGGGATTTGAACCCAGGGCTCTGGATATCAGAGCCTGAACTCTGAACTAGTTTCTTGATACCCCGCCCCGCCCCCCCAAGGCTGAGTCAGATGTCACTTGCTCCAGAACTCCTCTGTGACGCCCAGGCCAGGAGGGTGCTCCCGGTCACCCTGGGCTGTCACCGTCTGGGGACTGGACTGCCTCCTGCACTGGAGGGTGGGGCCGCGGCTGTCTGGGTCATTGCCCAAGACATGGGCCTGTGGGAGCCGGGAGTGTCTGCCGATGGCCCGGGGCACTGTGGGGTGATGGGCAGATGGATGGGGTGGCAGCAGGAAAAAGAAGAGGTTAGGGTGTAGCATTGGTCCCCAACTTGCTGCAGGACTCAATTAAAAAAAAATAAAAAAAATAATAAAAAAATAAAAATAAAAAGTTGAAGAAAAAAAAAAAGAGGTTAGGGTGTAGCATTGCTGCAGGACTACTCTTCCCCTCCCTGGGCCTCAGCTTCCTCCTCTGATCGAAGCAGGGTGTGTGTGTGGCGGGGGCGGGGGGAGAACCCTAGAAGAGATAGGGAAACTGAGGCTCCAGGAGTGCCAGGCTGATTCCCAGGGCCACCGCCCAGAGTTCCTGCCGCGTCCCCACTGCCCTCCTCTCCCCGGTCCCCTCCTCCAGCTCTCACTCTGGACTTCACCGTTCCCTTGTCTGGCGCCCCATTGTCAGTCTGACTCTCCCTCAGCTCACTCTCCATGTCAGCCTGTTTGTCCTTCCACTCGGTCTGTCTGTCTGTCTGACTTCCTCTCCCTCTCTCCTCTCTCCTTCTGTCTCACATCCCCAGTTTGTGTCTTTGTCTCCCCCAGTCTGTCTGTCTGGCTCGGCCCCGTCTGTCTGTTTTCCTTCCCAGTCACTGTCCATCTGGGCGTCTTCAGGGGTCCGTCTCCCCCTGCCTTTCCGCGTTTTCTCTTCCTCTCACACTGTCCCTGAATCGGAGGGGGACCCCGATGGAGAAGGTGACCAGGCCTGGAGGGCTGCCTCTTCCCGGCTAACGGCCTCACCCCCTCTCCCCATTTCCCGGCAGCGAGACGGTCATCTGCTCCAGCCGGGCCACTGTGATGCTCTATGACGACGGCAACAAGCGGTGGCTGCCTGCGGGCACGGGCCCCCAGACCTTCAGCCGGGTCCAGATCTACCACAACCCCACGGCCAACTCCTTCCGGGTGGTCGGCCGGAAGATGCAGCCGGACCAGCAGGTGAAGCCCCGCGGCCGCCCCTTCCCAGGGCTGCGCACTCCGCCCCTGCACCCCCCTCACCCACCTTTCCCCTCCTGCCAGGTGGTCATCAACTGCGCCATCATCCGGGGTCTCAAGTATAACCAGGCCACCCCCAACTTCCACCAGTGGCGGGACGCCCGCCAGGTCTGGGGCCTCAACTTTGGCAGCAAGGAGGACGCCGCACAGTTCGCCGCGAGCATGGCCAGTGCCCTGGAGGCGTTGGAAGGTCAGAAACAGTGGGCAGAGGGGCCCCTGAGCCCTGCCGTGTGGCCTGGGGCCGCCACTTCACTGCTCGTGGCCTCAGTTTACTCATCTGAAAATGGGGCTGATTCAGTGCTACCGTGGACAGTTTTTCTGAGGATTTTGTGTGGGCTCCTGTGTGCCCCTTGTACCCCTGGATTTCTAAGGCTGCAGTTGCCCCATGAATTTTCACACGAACACTCCTGGGCGACTGCCTCCCAGATCAAGGTGTAGCCCTTTCCAGCTCTTGGAAGGCTCCCTCTGCCCTTTGCCGGGTATTGTACTGGCTCATGTCATCATCAACTCGTTTTCAGACATTGATATTAAAAAGATCTCCAGGTGATAGTTCTTTAAAAAAATTAAAAAATAAATTTTATATGTAGGAGAGGGAGAGAGAGATAGAAACATCAATGATGAGACTCATTGATGGGCTGCCTCCTGCACGCCCCCTACTGGGGATCGAGTGTATAACCTAGGCATATGCCTTGACCGGGAATTGAACCGTGAACTCCTGGTTCATAGGAGGATGCTGTTACCACTGAGCCTGCTGGCCAGGCGAGGACTGAACCTGGGTTCATCAGGACGATGCTTTGAGCTACCAGCCAGGTCCAAGGTGGTAGCTCTTAACCTGAACATCTGGGTAAAAGGCAGATTCCAGTTCAGTTGAGCTGAGGTGGGACTGAGCCTCTGCCTGTCTAGCAAGTGCCCGGGGATGGCAGCCCTGGGGCAGCGAGGCGTTAGGTGCGGCTGTGCCTCGGGTCCAGGTCGCTGCTGGAGAGCTTCAGATCGCCAAGGGCAGGGCTGTCTGCTTCCTGGAGCGGCTGTGGTGACAGGGCTCGCTTGTCGGGGCACAGAGAGAACTATGGGGGGCAGTCTGTGTCTGTGGGCGCCAGAGGCCGGGGCTGGTAAGGAGCAGGCTTTCAGCCTTTTCAGGATCCTGGGGCTGGGGTCTCCGTGGCTGAACCCCTGGTTAAGAGTAGATGTGGGAGCCCTGGCCGGTGTTTCATTGTTAGAGCGTCAGCCTGCACACCCGAGGGTCGCAGGTTCAACTCTGGTCAGGGGCATGTGTCTGGTTGCAGGTT